TTTTTTCGAGATGGAGTCTCATTCTGTAGCCCAGGCTGGAGTGCAGTGGCGTGATCTCAGCTAGGCTCACTACAACCTCTGCCTCCTGGGTCCTGGTTCAAGCAATTCTCCTACCGCAGTTCTCCTACCACAGCCTCCCAAGCAGCTGGGATTACAGCACAAGCCACCATGCCCAGCTAATTTTTGTATTTTTTAGTAGAGACGGGGTTTTACCATGTTGGCCAATCTGGTTTTGAACTGATCTCATGATCCACCAGCCTCGTGAGCCACCGCACCCGGCCAAACATTTCTACTTTCATTGTAGGGAAATCAGATAATACAAAGCACAGTTAAAAAAAAACCCTTTTATTTACCTGTAATCAATCCTTCCACTCAGAGAAAACTACTGTTAACTTTTTTCTATGCATTTATATTTATAAATAAATTTAATTATTTTTTAAGCAAAAAATAATAATAGTATTACATGGATATCCCTTTTTTACATTGTATTGGGCATACAATGAATGGTATATTTCATGGTATTACTTAAGCCAGTAATTTAAGAAACATTTTTATTTAGAAATTGTCCCATGCCTTTTCTCTAGGGTGAAAAGAAGTAAGTTCACAGTAGCTGCCCAATTCATTCACTGCTGAATGAAGGGAGGTGGGCCGTTCTAGAAGGTTAGTTAAAATGTGGTTTTCTCAGTGATTGAGGAGGAGGAGGAGGTTTCTCTTAGTAACTATGTCACAGTTTTTCTGTTGGGATTAGAGAAGGAAATGGGTATGCCAGTATCCACAGTGTCTGTTTGAAAGATATGGGAAATAGAGGAGTATGAAAGAGTTTTGTTTTTGTTTTGAGATGGAGAGTCTCACTCTGTCACCAAAGCTGGAGTGCAGTGGCACGACCTTGGCTTACTACAGCCTCTGCTTCCCAGGTTCAAGCCATTCTCCCGCCTTAGCTTCCCGAGTAGCTGAGATTACAGGTGCCTGCCACCACGCCTGGCTAATTTTTATATTTTTAGTAAAGGTGGAATTTCGCCTTGTTGGCCAGGCTGGTGTAGAACTCCTGACCTCTAGTGATCCTCCTGACTCAGCCTCCCAAAGTGCTGGGATTACAGGCATGAGCTACTTTACAGGCATGAGGTTTTTTTTTGTTGTTGTTTGTTTGTTTGTTTGTTTTTTAAGAAACAGGGTCTTGCTATGTTGCCCAGGCTAGAGTGCAGTGGCTATTCATAGGTGTGGTCCCACTACTTATCAGCCAAGAGTTTTTTAAGAGTTTAATTGTTTGTGTGTGTTTTGTTTTGAGTATAGAAAAGTAAGAATAGGTTAAGAACTTACTTTTGCACTATAATTCATAAAATGTAGTATTTAGTATACCTTTAAAATCTTTATGGTTTTGTGCTTTAATATACAAAATGAAATTGTAATAAAGTTGAAGCCTCAGGCCAGGCGCGGTGGCTCAAGCCTGTAATCCCAGCACTTTGGGAGGCTGAGGCGGGTGGATCACGAGGTCAAGAGATCGAGACCATCCTGGTCAACATGGTGAAACCCCGTCTCTACCAAAAATACAAAAAATTAGCTGGGCATGGTGGCACGTGCCTGTAATCCCAGCTACTCAGGAGGCTGAGGCAGGAGAATTGCCTGAACCCAGGAGGCAGAGGT